CTATAAATTGAAAACAAGTTTAAAATGATTATTTTTAGTCCCTCAACTTCTAATATATGCATATTTTTTGTCCATCCACTTTAAATTAAGGGACTAAAAATGTATATATTTAGACAAATTTAACAAAATAATTGATAGAAGGACTAAAAAAAAATATGAAAAATGGACTAAAAAAGTACATAAAAAAGTTAAAAAATAAAAATTATGCAAAACATTATAATTGAGGACCAAAAATGGCATTTATTCTTTTTAAATTTGAATTGAGTTGTACGGACAATTTTTGTGTACCCGGATTTGAAATTGCAATTGCAGGGTATTAAGAAGCTTGTAGCCCAAAACAACGTCGTTTTAGGCTAGGAAATCTCTTTTTTTTTTTTTTTTTTTTTTTAATAATTTGCCAGTGTGTACTGCCCAAAATTTCGATGAATCGGTCAGTACACCGAATTTTGACCAAATCAACTAGATTTTGATTGAAACAAATTTTCATATTATACTGTTTCGGTCAATGCAAAAAATCAGTATATACCGGCCATACCGATTGGTACGGTATGAAATTAACTCCCTTGCTACAATTCCAAGCAAACAGAAGCGATAAAGAAGTGAAACAACAATTTAATGTGATTTGATTTGTACACCTTTTAACAAGTTTACATTCACGGGAAAGAGAAAAAAAAATCTATTATTAAGAAAAAAAATATAATAATTTAAAAGCCTTCTCACTCAAGAGTCTCTCAACACCTTAGCTTTAATGTATAAAAACTCCCAAATTCTCCCTAATATTCTCTCTTAATCTACACAAAGATTTTCTTACAATTTCTCTCGTTCTTTTCTCTCACAAAAGCACCCACTCACTTAGCTCTTCTCTTGCTTGCTCTCACATTAGCTTGCCCATTGCCTTTGCATGCATGGGTATTTACAGTACAAAATCCAACCACCCATGCACCATTTTTCTTTGCTCATTAAATGGGTCAACATGCACTTTTGCATGATTTCAACAAAGCAAATGTTAGCCCACAACTAATTAGGTTGATGAAGAAATTTCATCACATGAAAAGTCCATGTGTTCACATAGGGTTGGACTTTTTACCAACACTTCCTTTCCTTTTTTATACGAAGCCCAACTTTCTTTTGGATTCATCAGTGTCGTACTATGCTTTGAAAGAACGATTTTGTCTAGTACTCCTTATACTCCTTGTTGGACTTAAGAAGCTTAGGCCCACATAGAGAATTGATGAATCAGATCTTTAGTGCCCAGATTTGCTGGGTCTAAATTAAGAGGGCCCATGCCATCAGGCTACTCAAATCAGATTCATCCCACTAAGCGGCCTTCAAAGTGATTCTGGGCGCCCAATAATCAAAGGTTTGAATACCATTCGAGTCCCTCAACTTTCTACTTTGACACCAATATTATCTTTTAACTTTAAAAAATATCAAAATTATTCATAAACTTTCATTTTCCATACCAAAACAATCCTTCCCATTAGTTAAATGGAGAACTGACACGGTTAATTTGTTAGCAAATCAATTTTTTTTTCTTAACTAATGACATGAAAAAATATATATAGTTGACCATTTTTTAATGAGTTGACATTTTTATTTAATTTAAAAATAATATTTTTTTTCATCCACGTAAAAAAAAAAAATCTTTTCTTCCTCTTTCACTTTCTCTCTCCTTTACCTTTCCTTTTTCCTTACTTCTGCAAACCCAGCCTCTGGGTTTTCTCGAACAGCGGAGAAACAAGTGATGATCGTCGCCATCGACGACAATGAACATAGCGCCTACGCGCTGGAGTGGATGCTTGATCACTTCTTTGTTCTTCTAGGTGATAGTGCCTTGTTCAAGCTCGTCATTGTTCACACCAAACCTTCTACTACTTCTGCCGTCGGCCTTGCCGGACCTAGTAGCTACTCATGTGGTTTTCAATACTTTTACTTACTAATTCTTTGTAATTTTTTCTCCTTTTTGCTTAATTTTGTTTGGTTTTGATCGTAAGAGCTATGGAGATTTTTTCATTATGGGTGTTCTCAAACCCAGATCTGGGTTTTCTCTCTCAAGCTTCATCTTCTTCCTCCTTTCTTTCCCTGCTCGTCCTTCTTTTTTCTTCTTCTTATTCTTTCTCTCTCTCTCTTCTCCCTTCTTGTTCCTCCCCAAATCTGGGTTTTATCAAACCCAGATCTAGGTTTGAGAACCAACCTAGTCTCTTACGATGGAGAATGATGGGCAAGTATTTGCATTTAATGTTGGTTTCGAGCAAGCAGTCGTGACAATTTTCAAGGTTGATATCTTGACATATATCACCTTCTGCTTCTTAGGAAATCGACTATAATCAAGCCAGTCCCTTCCACTAAGATTAGGAAGGTTGTGTCTCTAAAGATACTTTGAATCGTTTGTTTTCCGAAGATACCCTAAATCGTTGGGAGACTTAGCACAATTTTTATGGAGGCTGTACTCATCACATTCAACACATTGATAGCTAGGCCCTGATAAGATGGGATTTCTGCAACTTTTGCAAATGAGTTTCTGTTCGTTCTTGGTCTCCCTGAAAAAGAGAAACTCATGCAGGTGCCTTTCTTTTTTAGCTAGAAGAATTGCAGAAACCAGTTCCTCCAGGAAGAAGAGATTCGTGGGATCAACAGTGAGTTTTGGAACAAAGACTGAATTGGTTTGAAAACCTAGATCTGGGTTTGAGAAAAAATCCAGATTTGGAGAGGAAGAAGGAGGGAGAAGAGAGAGAGAAACAATAAAAAG